ACATCCTAAAAACATACGTGGCTCCCAGGGTATAAAGCCCCTGGTTCGTCCACTCCTACTAGCGGCTCCCAGGGTATAGAGCCCCTGGTTCGTCCGTGAAACCATTCATTTTCCCTATAAATCTAACCCCGTGGCTCCCAGGGTATAGAGCCCCTGGTTCGTCCACGTAACCTCCACCTACGGCTCCCAGGGTATAGAGCCCCTGGTTCGTCCGGACCTCCTTTCTTTTCCTAACCATACCCAAAACCACCGGTCGAGTACTGCCCCTCGACCGAATCCAGGATCTCGCGCTCCCGCTCGTAACAGGCTCGTGCTATGGTGGACGAGTCTGTCTGAGAATTCTTCTAAATTAACAATGATGGCAAACCAGCAATTTCAGTGAATGCTATTATCCACTAGTCATTAGCTCGTTTACACAGATAATCAAATATTTTTAGTTCCAGCATACAGATCTCGAACGTGACCTTTAGAAATGGCGAGGCAAATTTACTTCTGTATCCGTTAATCTAAAAATATTTCAAATAACAGCACAGGGTAGTAACAATCTCGGTAATTATATTGATGTTTCTCATTATCGCTCGAGCATCGTCCGCCGCGTCTTCGAGTGCTCCTGCGTAAAATTTAATTATGCCCACGGTCAAACATCGCAGGCGTAATGAAAATGAGAAATAATTTACTTGTCGAGAAACGATTCCGCATTTATCTGAAAAGTTCCGCGGAAAAGAATCCACGGTGTGCTGACGGAAATTGCATTGCCGGAAGCGGTATGAAACTCTTTCATAACCGCGCAGGGCGCAGAGAGAAATCACTTTTGCTGAAACCGAACTGGCCCCGCGAAGATCTGAAAATTAAATTTACTTCGTTGCTCCTTGGACTGGAAATCTTTCCCCAGATACCTATAACGTTCCGATGTCGTCCACCGTGCGGCTTCAAGGTATATTCAACGACCCCCCCCCCGGACAAGGGCGAGAGAAAATGACAAAAAAACGTATCACGCGATAGAATAGGTACGAGTTGGACGTTGCTCAAGAAACAACTAAGTTTAACCGTTCGACATGATTAGAATTTCTGATTGTAATATAATACAAAATTTTTGGAGCTTTTTTTCTGTCTACGTAAAAGTAGGAGGAGTTTGAGTCATAATTTTACCCTCTTGAAAACAGTGTACAAAATATGAATTTTTGAAATGAATATTAGACTAGGTGGATAGTTAAATTGATAGTTCATATTAATCACAGAGAAACGAGAATATGAAATATTTTTTATTTTAACTTTGATTTCAAACTCACATTTACCGAAATTTAAATTTTACAAATGCGTATTATAGGCAAAACTGACTATCGAAAGAAAATGTTTGAAGAGAACAAAATTATATTTTTGAAAGTATTTCAATTGCGTTTGATAACGAAATTTATATTTGCTCTGCGAGCGTTTAAGCATCACTTTTGCTATCGTTGATCGATCGTATCAAAATTCAATTATCGGTAACGTTTTACCTCGGTATTGTTCCTGATAATCGATGTTTTGCTGTAATTAGGATACACTAATTAGAAGTTTATGAGATGCAATCAATTTCCCGTTTATTAAACCTCGGTTTTCGGATCCTTTGAACTCGCAGCATGCAATTTACGTTCGAACGCGTGCCTGTGTGTACGTATGAGGTTACTTCCTCGCCGCAGTCGAATTTATACATATTCCAAAGTTGACTTGGTGCTTAGGCGTGCTGAGCACACTTTTCTTGCAATCTGCAACCTACCGCCGAGTGCTCGACCACATCAAGCGTCCTACACACGTACGACCTTCGTGTGAAGTACACGACGTATACCGTATCGTACATACGTCTGAGTGATTAAAAGCAGAGCAAAGAAGAGGAAATGCAACCGAAGGTTGAAGCGTTTAATTGTCGTACAATATTGACAATTTTTTTTCACTCGTTAAACAAGATTAGAATTTTTAAATTACATTTACAGTTCGAAGAAATTGACTGTTTTCGTTTCATTGTTGTTTCAGTTTCACCCCTAAGGGGCGTGAGTTAAAACCGTTCTTCAATGTTTAAAGCATGCGTGTTGAAACTTTACTTTTTCTCATACTCGCGAACCCCATGCTCTTTTAACAATTCCGGCCACACGGAGCAGAGTTCCTTTCCGCTGTTTTTCCGACCTTGACTTCCGCCCCCGCAGAGCAGGGGTAGTTTTATAGCAGAGTATACGACGCCGGATGCTCGCCATTAAATGCCCCGCGCACGTACGACCTTCGTGCGCAGATATTCGCTACATTCTGTCGTACATTCTTTCGCGCCAAGTTAATACGACTGTAAGACTTCTCTAGTCCAGAGCGCATAGATAAACTTGAACGCAAGAAAATAACACTTCTTGGCGGCTAATGGAGCAAATTTCTTTATTACAGTATCATATATTACTATCTACACGCAATTTAATCTTTAGTCGTGGTTGGCTGATCTCAAGAACTCTAGAAAAGAGAAATACAAAACACCGTGCAAGGTATTCGTCTTCATTATACGCGTACTACAAACAAAATTCCGGTAAATACGCGGAACGTAGCGAGACTACGCGAAGTCAACTTTTAACGAGAGACTTCAGTCAGTTCGATATCCCAACGTTCAAACTTTCATCAAGAATAGATCAAGCGATCAATCAAACTCAAACACATTCGAACTACACGTATATTCTGTTTCTAACACCTGTAAATTCTATACTGTTAAAGTTCTACCAATCAATCTCCTCTATCGAACCAGTCGCGTGTCATTAATTTGCCATAAGACATCCGATCGTCTATCATCGAGAGTAAACGGTACTTGCAGCTTCCTGAAATTCTTCGAATCGCGGTGTTCCGATCCTCGACGTCTCTATTTAACTGAAAAAGTCATCCGTCGGCGAATAATTAGACCAGATCGGTGTACGCGGGATCGCAGGTCCAGCAATTACATCCCGTTGCACATTTACGTGTTGACGCGTCATTATGTTACAGCCTGATTACGTCAGTCGGGCGTCCGCAAAGCAGATAATCGCTATTTGTCAAGATAAGTAGCTGCGGTCTGTCATATAGCACCGAGCACATCCACAGCCACCTTGCACCCCTTTCCTTATTGCCTGGCGATTACGTAATTATCGAGGATATTGCCGCTGTATTGTGGAGCATCGTAACACTATGAAACCCATAGCAATAATTAACCCAATTAGAGTTGGCCCGTTCTCGTTGTTACCATATAAATAATATTTTGTTCGATGTTTGAGCACAAACAGCAAAATATTCGTGCACGATAGATTGGCTTTCCATGATATTAAATTCGTATTGTTATCGTTATTTCGTTTAATAAAAATTTTCTTTGAGGAATCAGTTTTACATCGTAAATTCACCGTATCAACAGTCGTAAATGCCAACTAAGTACTTTTAATATTCCGTCGTAAAACAGTTATCATAATGTCGGGGGAATAATATTATTTTACTACTACCACAGACATCTTATGGAAAGTGTTACACGAAGGGCGTTCGAAATTATTATCCTTTCGGAAGAGGAGTACATTATTGCGGTGGATGAAAAAGAATTTGTAAGTGGACAGCTTGGGGAGCATTAAAGGAAGTCAATTTTACAGCAGTTGGAAAGAAACAAATTTCGACTCTTTTGAAGAAGAATATCGTGGCTGAATTTTTAAATTTACTTATCGTTGTTTTATAGAATTCGTAACTTGAAAATATTTGAGACGAATCAGTGTACTCGTATTATTTATTTATTGTAAAGGTCGAAAATGATCAAATGATTTGCAACGAAATTGAAATGCCGGGTTACGTCGGATATATTTCCGCTGTATGTTGATATTTTCCCGGCATTCCGTTGCTCAGTTTTTATTCTAAATTACGTGGGATCCATTTCAGAAAAATAATAATTCCGGTCGGTTGTGTAAGCGTAATCGATATTGAAAAATATTCTCGATGAAACTTTGCTTGCTGAAATTTCGCTTTCACGGGCGAAATAAATGGACAAAGTCGAAATACGCGCGATCGCGGAAATATCATTGCAACGTCAGCTTTAAAAGGAAACCGAGATGAGAGACGAGTTAATCAATAAGTAAGCCGGTGGTACGCACGTGGCCTCGTCTACTAAACTTCTCTGGATCATTAGTTTCGCTTCATTTTAATTCCTCGCAACGAAAAACGGAGAACGGTTCAACCTCTATGGACAACTGTACACGATAGAATGTTAATTATCGAAACTAATAGGGAAACGAAATACTTTTTATATTCCATTCACAATTACAAAAAATAGCGATCGGATTTATTGGTTTCAAATTTTCAGGCTTCGAGCTATTATTACCTTTAGCGATAAAAATAATACCCAACAACCAATCGAAACAATCCCCAAATATAAGCTGTTCGAACCGATATTTTTACGTGCAACGAGACGTCAATAATATCAAAATTAGACTGGATTTCAAACAAACAGACAGACTGAAAATTCTAAAAATATGTTAGTTCACATGTAAATTGTACATCTAATAATAAATGGGCTGAAAACTTTGCAAAACTTATGTCACGCGTGTATCGAGGTTTATAAATGTTAACATCGAACGCTTCGAAGAAAAGTCCATAAAGCGCCCCAGTCAACAGAGAATATAATTCTTCGTAAGTTTCGAGCATTCAATGTACATATTCTATTTGGGGAAACAAGAAGCGTGCGAGAAGCACGGGGATGAAAAATGTCTTAAACTTATCATAAGTTCCGTGTCGTAAACGTGGCATACGTTTTGAAGATAAAGCGTCACCGTACACATTTACTTCCGTACTTCGGTGTATTTTTTCCTTTTTTTTCTCGCGAATCTACATCGAAGTCAAAAATGCAATAACCTCGAGTCCGCGTTTAATCTGTCCGCGAAGCGTCAAAAGTTTCCTGAAAAGTCTAGCCAAGGAAACAAAATACGAAGAGACTTCCAGAGAGAGAAATGTATTCCCATCTAACCATTTATCACCCCTTTCTGTTTCAGGGCTCTTCGAGACGGACGGCGTGTTGACTCCTGGCACGATGTGCGACCTCGAGTTTGTCAGTTCACAGTCAACACCGCAGTACGGACGATTCTACTCGCCACGTTACCCGTCCTCTTACCCAAAGAACATCCGGTGCTCGTACCTCTTCCGGGCAAGGTAACTAGGCTGACCTACTATCAAGCTCGCAAACTGATCCCGACATAATCCATATATAATGCATCTCGAGGCCAATCTCGAGTCGCGCCATATATCTAACGTTCTCGCGCGTTTAACGGCTCCAATCCGTAATCCGGTTGTCAGTTAATTAACACATGAGCCGTGGTATCATCGTCCTTGCGATTTCGATAAAGATCTTCGTCGTCGTACCCCTCAAAAGTATCGTAGAAATTAATAGAGTTTTCTATAAGACGAGGTTCTATTTAGTTCTTAAATCAGAAATTTATTTGTCAAACAAGTTAGATACAAAATTGCAGTTTTGTTGGATTTGGTTTTCCTAAAAAATTGATATCACCGGTATATTAGAAACTCTAAGTAAAAGTTAATCGGGTTTCTGGGAGAGATGGACGAGTGTTCGAAAAAGCAGGAGTTAGACGATCGATTCCTCATCGAATAAGGTTCCTAATCCAGATTGAATCCCGCTTGATACCGAATCCTTCCGACCAGACGTAATTTCGTTACAACGAGCGGCAGTTCTCCCTTGTCGTCGGAGATTTTCCGGTTTCCTGACCGGCGTAACTTTCCTTGCTTCTCATCTCCGTTCCTTGTTACGCTGACTGTCGAAAGTTTATGCCGACTGCATGGAGCGTTTTCGGTATAACCGCATAAAAGGCCGGACAGGGCGAGAAAGAGGCGAGTTGTTGGCACGGGAACGCAGGAAGCGCCCCCGGAATTCTTGAAGCCGGGATCTCTGGAATAACTGCGCGACTACTTGGAAAAGAGACGCTAATAGACGATGTTCTCACGGCTTGTTAGCGAAGGACGGAGAAAGATGCAGTCTCGAATTGTTAAATTTCGCGTAAAGCACACGGAACGTTCGCGATTTGAAAATGAATCCGAAAATTAAAAGTTCTTTACAATTTTATTTTTCTGTCTGGGGAAAAATTTTAATGGGAGATTCTGGAGGCCAAAATAAGACGAAAATCAAGAATACCAATTTGTTGATCGAGGCTTCGTTAGAAAGTTATTAACGTTTAAATTCTCGCCTGTTGAACGGCGATCTGCGTGCGCAGTAAGCAAAGTTTTTCACGCTTAGTGAGAACTACTGCCGCGTGCACGTTATACATGCGGAACTTTAAACGTTAATAATTTGTTAACGAAGCCTCAGTCAACAAATTGGTATTCACGATTTTCGTCTTATTTTGGCCTCTAGAATCTCCCATTAAAATTTTTCACAGAGGTGACCAAACACCCTGTGTATTATTTTTTTCGAAACAAACTTTTCGTTGCATTTAAAACGTTCAGTAAACTATGCAGAAGGATTATTAGAATTGTGAACAAGGAAATTGCGGACTCTCTTGAGTTTCATTTTGCTTACAAGCCCCGTAACTCTTAGGTTTACCGTTGGTGTCGAGGTCATGCGGCACTCGTGTTCGAACGATAGTCAGCAATCATGCGAAACGACGGTCGATTCCGCAATTTCAGAATGTCGTTCGTACGCAGTGAATTTAATCGTGGCGTGGAGCCAGTATGCAGATATGATTTCCGTAGTATTGTGGCTTCCGCTTAATTGCAGTAATTGTATCAAAGTAGCGTTTGCAGTTCGGTATGCCTAACAGTTACATCAAGGATACAACGCTCCGCGCATACCTATAAACCTGACGGATGCAACGCGTACACGCGTGCACAATCCGTTCGGCTTGTATTCATGGCTGTCACTGCATTACCGCTACAAATTGCACTCGGATATTCGTTACGTTGCTAATCGATGAGACTGTCGCGGCAAGAAGATTCCATTTTTGCATAAACATCGTCCACTTAAATCGCGAACAATCCCCTAACACTGGTTTCCACGTTATCGTGCAAAAATGCTCGAGTCTTTTTTATATTACAGTTTTAATTCTTGCCCAAACACCAAACGAGTCAATAATTTATTTACCATTTTCTTTCACAATTTTCAGTAAATATCAATTTAATTTATTTAATTTTATCAGTTAACGATGTTGTTCAGAAAGTTGGTTTTATAATTGGTCTATTCGTAGCAGTTAATTATATAATATCTTGCAAAAGAATAAAATATCACGAGTGTTCGTTGAAGTTTTCCCCATCAAATCTATCTTCCGAAGTCATGGAGTGTCAAAGACGAAGCTCCAAAGAAGACAAGCTTCAACAGTCAAGTTTTACGTAGCTCGTAGTTCGTAAGTTCTATTTTTTCCGGATGTTTCTAAAGTAAAGAAGATAACAATACGTTTTTATTACAGAATGATGTATTGGTTAACTTTGTCTTACCAACAATGGATGCGAAATTCTTTTGCATAGGACGTATGGACCAGATAACCAGTTACTCTCTGGGTACATTTTCTCATGCGTTATCCATGATAAATAGGAGTTACCAAATTGATACTCAATTTTACAAATATAGCAGAATACTTTTTAATTATAATATATAGGGTCCTACTCAGCTCTTCGCGATAAATAAGGTGCTTCAAAAATAAACTAAAAATGTGCAAGAAATTCGTAAAAATGTCTCATTTTTATATATTGCCTCGTTAAATTTTTGTCATACTTTAGATCGGAAAAGTGCATATAATGTGTCTAAAACTACGAAGCGAAGTAGGCTAAAGAAATTGTTATTTTCATTTCCATCTAATCTTAAAAATGCATTATAATAACTTCGAATGTCAAGGTCATAGAGAATTAAATCTGTACAATTCTATCTTAAACAGTAATTTCTCTAAATCTTCCAGCTACGTACTTCATAACAATCTGTTTTGGGAACAATCGTTTAACAGATACTTTTCTCATTGCAGGTTAAAAGAGAGGATACGATTAGTCTTCGAGGAAATCTCTCTACAGAAAGGAGACCTAAGGTGGGTATTGATTATTCTGACTGGGTAGTTCAGAAACTTATCAATTAAAATCTCGCTAAAATCGAAGATCGTTGATACAAAATTTTAAATATTAACGTTGAATCTACCAGGAGCAAAAATTCGCTTTCCATCATTTATAAAAATAATAATTATCGATTCTCTTTGTAATCTGTATCTTTTATAAATGAAACCTTATTCGCAAGATATTTAAAATTCATCGAAATGAAACTCGTTGGGAGAATGGCAATTTTCATTTATCGATGACCTATTCTATTTAAACGAGATTGAACATAATTATTTTACGTATTTACAAACGAACAAAATCAATTCCTCGTTAAATATGAAACAGAGAATGTATTCGGTTCATAAAACTAGGACTAATTTTGTAGTAGAAGCGTGTGTATGTTAATTTATTAAACTCTGATTCTTTTTTATATGATCGGTGTGTTTTGTCCCTCTTTAGGGTGACAGATTTCACATTTCCATCTTCGTACGTCATTTTAAAAGTTCTATGCTCACATTACTCCGAGTTCATTTACATTTGGAGATTGATAGATTCGTAAAAGCAATGTTCCGACTGGGGAAAGTTCGCTTGTACGTTCCGTCGCACATTTCTGATATAAATTGAGTTCAGCAAGTTTTAAAGGAGTCAGCGAGAGGAAGAAACGAAGGCGGGAATGTCAGCGTAGGGGATCAAAGTCATGAATTCGCGGAGTAGCATGGCTTGACCCGTGGTGACAAGGCAAAGAAAGCGCCATTAAACGGACTACAGTCGAGGACAGTCGATTTATAACTTGCGAAGACCGTTCACTCCGCGTCGCGTCAAAAGACACGACTAACAAAACATATCAAGATCCGCGAGAACGAAAGGTTTAGGAAATTTCTTTCGACTTCGGGACCGCGCGGAACCTCGTTGAACTTTCCGGTCCAATAAACGCGAGGGGTCATTGAACTTTAAACTGAAAATACGAGTGAGCATTAAAAACTTTGAAACCGCGCTTGTTCGCTCGCAACGCGAGATTTTGTTGCGTGAAATCTCTGAAAAATACAAAGGAAGCGATCGAATGGAAGGTTTTCAGGTTAATTTCCTGTTGAAAATCAATGGAAATAACTTGATGTTTAATTACGAATAAATTAAACGTAACAAACAATTCTTCTGTGCGAATCTCAGGCACGGAAATCCACCAGTTTTTTAAATTGCTGCTCTATATTTTTCCATCGTCGATCTCTTTCTGTGTAATAAACTAGGTCATCGTATTATATTACCATCTTACTATTCCTCACTAGCAATATCTGTTGGAAACGCTTAGTTGCTTAATCCATGGAGTTACTTGCAAGAAGTCGACGTCCCCGTTAATAATCCCGCATTACGTACGCGCTTACGACTACAGTTACACTTAGGCATTTTTCGGAAGTTCTATTAATCATTCTTGACATGCTGCTTTAATACTTCAAACCGAACGTATTTCAATCCTAATACGAACTTTCGTGTTTCCTCGACTAGAAGTTTATCTTAATGAAACTCTGTACTTAATTTTAAATAATTCATTTTAAAACTGTAAGTTTACTGTTCTGTAAAAGCAATATTAATACACGAGTAACACGAGTACACGAGTTACGTTCTGATCACAATTTTTACATTTCTCTGCATAAATAACAAAGTTAATTATTATTATCATCAAAATAATTATCGACGCAAATAATGTACGGTGCCTCCATTTTATTATTAATTCTGAAATTCTCTCATTCGTGGAGCATCGTATTTTACGCACTGTGAAATACAAAATCATTTTACATTTATTTTAATATCGGTAGGATCAAAAGCTCGGTTTGAAATTAAAATTTCTTTACTTCTTGGTTCAATTTGCTAAAAAAATGATGCATGTTGGCCAAATCTGCTAGCTCCGTGGGTTTTCGTTATTTTCTTCGGCTAATTTGTGCTGCAACAGGTGTGGTTAGAGTAACCTGTCCGTGGCCCTCCAATTAATTTTGTTCCCTTTTCGATCAAAAGCTCGTCTATTTACGGTTACAATTTCAATATTAATATAATTTTTTCTTCTGAAAAAAAACCAAAAATATACATACGTTCTCGACTAACATAATTTTTTTTAGTTACACTTATCTCTGTTTATCATACAAATAAATTGTGCGTCGAGACGCGACAAAATGTAATTGTTCCTATACCGACGATTTAATTGCGTGCCCTGGGGGAACCGATAAATGTTAAAAGACTTCCTTCCGTATAAAAGCCACGGCTCGGACAGCCGTGCTTCTATTACGCTAATTGTGAATTACGACGCCTGTCGGTTATTAACGTTTACGAGCTAACGAGGCACGATAACGAGTAGCAAGATCGCAAGCACCGGGTTGAAACTTTTCTATTTAAAAGTTTCCCGAGCCCCGAACATTGCATTCGTTGTAGTTCGACGGCACGTCAACTTGCGCGCCGGACCAGGGACTAGAGAGGCTTCAGGTGGATTAAACACGCAATAGAGATTTGCGTGCACGGTAAACTTCCGCAGGATTAATATTTTTTCCCGTTCAATCTTTCCTTTAAACTTTAATACGATCTAAATAAGGTAAACGTAAAGAGTATCGCGAGCGCGCGATTAAACTTTCGCGATGAAAATATTGAAATGCTATTGTCGTTTTAACACTTTGACTGCCACGTCACCCATATATGAGTGACAGGATTTGCCATTATGATACTAGAAAAATTAATTCTCAAGTTAAGACGTTCAGGAAAATAAATTTGGATAGAATTTGTGAATTTTAACGAGGTTACGAAAATAAATACTGAAACAAACTTTAGGTTATGTAGCTTGCAATGGTCTAAAATCAAAATTTTACTTTTGCAGAATATTATATGATTTTGGTCTGGCAGTGTGTATAAATCTAGATAACGATCATTTTATTTGCATCTCGAAATCTATTGCATATCGAAATTCCGACGAAATACACACTTTGCTCAAAGTTTTCGAATGGTAGAAACCGGAAGACGAATGCACTAATATCGGAGTTTCACGCTTAGAAGGAACGCTAAATGTTTGCTAAATTGGGCAAAGTGAAAGGGCGTGAACTCAAATGAACGACTAAACTAATCAAACAGACTCGTACAAATGTTTGCCAACCAGTAATAATGTCGACGTCGGGTCTCGACGACGTCACCGCTGGTCGTCGATGTAGGCGTCATCGTCTATTCCGTAGAACTTTGATATAAAGCCACCTAAAACTGACTCCGGCAGCTGGCGAACAATCGCGGGAGAAATTCTGCAAGAGCAGTAATGGTCTGGTATTCTTCGGTATCTCTCCGAACCTCCACCGTTTCGTTTCGACATATCCGTTCTAATCGTCTTTGCCTCTTCTTTCTTAGCACGCCATTATAGCGAATCGACCAGGATAGAACCCCAGTGGAGAGGACAGTTAGCAGAAAAATATTTATATTTATATTCCTCACTAATTAATTATAAACACTTACATTATGTTTGTTTAATTTCGTGAAATTGGCCAATTGCATCACCGAGCGATGTACAATTTTATTTCGTTGAATTATTGTGCAAAAATTAGTTTTATTTTTCTTATTCTTTTTCTAGGGGATGTTTTTAAGTTAGGATGATCGAATATTCGAGGCCATCGAGGGAAGAAGAAATTATCTATTTATTTTATTATTCATATCCCCCGTCACACCGTAAGATCTCTGCCTTCTCGAGAGTGGTGTGTAATAATATTATCAGGCCATGAATCAAAAGTAAATCTTGAGCTTCTTCAAACTTTCCGATTGCCAATATGTCAAACGTCTAATGCTTTCGATATTACGGGCATAAATCTGTCACGTATAATACTGAGGGCTCTGCTATAGACCCTTTAAACAGGTTATCATGAATTCCCTCGTCTTCCCAAAGTTGCTTCAGTGGATATCACCGTAAAATTTGCTGGCCAATGAATATTTGGTAAACCGATGGATCGGTATTGCATTCGATTTTAAACTTTTACAACTTAGTTTGAATATCGTTCTCGAAAATATCTAAAGAAATTCTATAAAAAAATGTAAAACATTTTAAATATCAACTCGTTAAAATATTTATTTGAAAACCGTTTTAAGGAGATTCGAAAGTTTCAAGCTACGCGCATAAAATGTTTCAAGTACGAAGCTGTTTCCCTTATCCTAGCTTCGAAGAGGAATTATCGAATATTAAAGCGTGCTAATTTTTCTTTTTTAGAACGAATTAGTAGCGGAAGTACGAGCGTACAAATTTAATACGACCCTTTAACCATCAGTCGTTATTAACCTTACCACAATAGGCACTTAAAGTGATGGGAATGTACTTCCACGGGAATTCTCTTTTTTTTTTTTAAATCCTGTACTGCCGGGCTATACCTGACCCCTAAATCCTTTGAGCGTGGTACGGACCATGATTCTACTTAACCCACATAAAGTTTCTCTCTGCGCGAAGACTTAGAGCTGAGAATGGTGATGGGGAGGTCGACTTGGGAAACAAGAGGTGCTCGGAGACTTCCAGCTGCAACGTGCAGGAGTTAATCCTTGATAAATCCTCAAACTCTGTTCTAATTCAGTATTGAGCTTCCTTAATTTCATTCCGACGTTGACCTCTTCTAGCTTTCGAAACCTTGAATTCGAATCGACGACATTGCGAGCTGAGACGATTTCATGGCAGAGGTTAAACAGTTGGAAATGTTTTTATTTGTCATCAGTATAGAGACAAGTGCTTTTCTCCTGTCACATAAAGGAACGACACATTTTTGGGTGGGTCTACATATGTATATTTGAATTTATTCGTGTATTACAACGTAACTCGAATCTCACAGAATGATTTGCAAAATAGAGTATATTTCTGGGTAGTAGTGCATAGGACGATCGATACGCGATTGCTCTTTCAATTGTGTCTGTTCTAATAGCAGCGCAAACTCTAAGAATCCTATCGTATTTTCTGGAATGGTGGGTCGTTCACGGTAAACATCCTCTTTCAGCTTTCCCCGCA